CACAGCTGGCCTGTGATTACATTACGCATTTGGAGGTTTCTGTGGATAAACTTGAAAGTTTTTCCTGAGTTTGTACTATCCCTCTGAAGATGGTGATTCATAAAGTTTTAGACTAAAAATCCAGACACAGCATGCCACTATGATAATGTAGGTTTCAATACAGAGATTGTTTAATGCCACAGATGTGTTGCCATTTTCTTTGAGCGTGTCTAAACTTTCAATATTGTTTTATTAAGCTTTTAACTGACAAAAGCATTGCCTTTTTGTGTTTGATCAAAAGGTATAATAACAGTAAATGAATTGCCTTTGTTTTTCATATTACTTCATTATTGATAGCTCTTAAAACGATTAACATTTTATTTGAGTTGTCTTCATTCAACATGCATTTTTCATCATTGAATCTGTCTTCAGAACTCAAAACAAGGACAGAAATCTGGTTTTATATTGTTTGTATAAGTAGACACAGGTTTTTCTGTTATTTTTAACCGTTAGGAACATGTGTTAAAATTCCTTACTCTTTGTTTTATTCATCATGTTCCCATCTGAAGGATGAAAACAAACAACAAAAAAACTCTGTGAAACAGACTGGCAAGGTTTGTTACTAAACACAATAAATAAAATGAGGGCCAACAATTTTTCCACAAACAATGTAATTGAAGTTTTGATCTGGGCTATTGGTGCAGAGAAAGTCTAATTATTCACAGAGCTTTGCAAATCATTCACAGTGTCTCGTTCTGTCTTTTCAATCAATTTGTGTCAAATGTGAATATATTGCATACTCTTTTAAAGGGTTTTCCGGAAAATTGATCTTTCATTCTATTTGGACAGTTTTTGTTTACCAGGCCTTTTTAACCAAAACTACTTACAAAGCTACTTAATTAAGGAAAAAGGCCCAATGGGACAATGCGGGGTTAAATGGGGTTTGCTCAGACACACAAAAGCATGTTTCACATAATAAACAAACATAGTTTGTTACATATACAAACTCTCAAAGAACATGCACACACTGTACCGCACATATACTGGCATATGATCAAGACAAGGAGGTTCAAGCTATAAACTTATCTTAAATGTACTGTATACACATATATATATTTTCATCCAAACATTATATTATGCAATTCTTAGACCACTGACTCTTCAGCTTTTGAACATTGGTGTTGTTCTATTCTATTCTATTCATCTGTTTATGCATGTGCCCAACAAATATTTTTGGCTCTTTTTGTGTTTGTATGAATCCTTGTGTGTATGTAATACATTTGTACTAGATGAGCATGTGATGATCAAAAGTGAACAAAGTAGGCCTACTCACAGAAAACACAGACAAATGTAAATTAAATTAGAACAATATAGTCAGACACCAGAGGAACATATCATTTGAACATTTTATGTCATGTTTTTGAGTATAAATAATAATACACAGACAGTTTCCTTAATCTCAGCATTCACCACATTGTCTCTCTGTATTATCATCACCTGCACGGTTATGAAAGCACTGGCCAGTCACTCCAGGCTTTCAATAAATGACGCCATCTGGCGGCTTTTTATCAGTATTCTCGATCTATAACCTTTTCAAATTACTGTGTTCATTGGTGTGGCTTTTCCTGTATGTGACCACAAGCTCAATTTTTTGATTTAGCTGTCAGATCTAGCCCTAGGCTGGAATGAACAAGAAAAAGTAAAGAGTTCGACATTTGTCCAGCTGCCCATAACAGTTACTCCTTATCTTTCTCTGTGACAAACACAGTAGGCCTAATAGACCTTAATCAGGATAGACGCCATACTGAAGTTTATGCTGATGAAAATAAGGCTGTGAGGGATAGACTTTACAGTATACTCAATGGTATGCACTGTTTTATGGAGTTTTTGTTTACTGAAAGTCTTTTGTAATATGTTTTGTCAGCTGAACAATCGATAAGTTCAACAACAGCACAGTCCAAAACACTCCACACTTGACACCTAAAAGCCTCATTTTGGTGCATGTCAAAACTTAAATATGGCGGTACTCTGACTAAGGTCTATTACATTTATTATTTTATTTATTTAAAGCAAACTGATATTGTCTTTTGTGTATTTCTTAGCCTGCTATGTGAGATGAGCTAAAAAAGTCAAATTTACCTGCACTCTTGGACGACACTGTTGGACGAATCCCGTGAGCGGACCAAAAATTAATTGATGTTCAAAAATGTAATACTATAGACAGTATATAGTATTTCCGACATAAATGTTTTGCTTTAAGCACCAAACTAATAATATGTCACATAAAATCTGGTCATCAACATAGAAACGTCAACAGGATCGAACTATCGAGTCGAACTCTCTTTATTTTATTTTTACTGATTTATTTATTATTTTGTGTTGTTTTTGGCTATGGCTTTCTGTGGTCTGCACTCTGCAGTCTATGTTCTGTGTACGGACTGTGCCCCTCTCTTTGACTTTTATTTTGAAAATTGCCGCCAGGAAGTGCTATCTCGTTCGCACAGGAAGTTGAATTATCAGCTGACCATGGTGTTTTGGATGGAAGTTGCTTTTGGAGGGGCTCTTTCTTTATCATCTTAAGCAAATCTTAAACGTCAGAGACACCGGAAAATAAAGCTGCATGTAACAGTGCGCGATCTCCAGCAACCGAAACGGCGGCACCCGGAGAAATCCGCGTTATTAGGAACAGATGATGGTCATAAGTGCTGAGCTGTTTGTTTGCTGTTGAATCATCGGAAAGAAAGAAAACGTCAGGCGAGGCTCGTGCGAGTCACTGATAGTCTGATGTGTGTATGTGGACTTATCTCGGCCTGTGATCGTTGCCATAAATAGCCTAAATGCATGTAATTTATCTGGTTGGATACGAAAGTTTCTTCGTTCGATGTAATAATTAGTAGCTTATGTGTTTTATGTGATTCAGGAGTAAGTCAAAGGTCAGATCAAAGTGTTTGTTGTTTTTCTTTTTTTACAACAGACAGCAGTTATATAATTTGTTCGCCTATATATTGGTTATAAGATAAATAACGTCTTGAATGAATTCATGCTTATGGAAGTTGATAAAAGAGCAGCAACCTGTAACCAGTTATTCATTCTTGACATGGGCTCGCTGTGACTGACATACCGTTTACTTGTTTAATTTATTTAAGCTTAGTCATATTGGCCTTTTTATAAGTGTGTTTGCCCGTGTGTATCTGTGATTCGTTTTATAGTGTTATTTATAAGCATGGTGACCGTGCAATGCGTTGATAGCTGCATTGCATCACTTGTGTTTTGACATATCTGAAGTCAGGGGTGTCGTGTGGCACTCGAACTGTGTTTAGGAGCTTTTTGAACGTACTACTTCGTTATATTTGGACTGATTCGGTGGATTATTCGAGAGATTTCGAGAGGGAAGACTCAGATCTGGCACAGTCAGAGATCCTCGTTGATATTCCCAATTTCTCCCCGCCAATGCTGGATCTGGAGGTCGTTCCTGAGCGATCTTTGGGAAATGAACAATGGGAATTCGCATTAGGTGAGTGTGAGATCAGTTCAAAAGCTGAAGTAAACATTGCATGTTGAATTATCTAATGCTAGACCACTTGAAAACGAGCTGATTTATTTGACATTTATAGTCAGTTGCCATCAGGATTTCACAGTTGTATCACGTTCTCTGTGACACTTCACATCCGAGGTCCACTTGACCTGAAAAAGTCCCAGCTACACTGATTTGTTTCACTAGGGCTGATACGGGAATATTCAAAGAAAACATAATATATTAAATATATTTCAAATTAAATATAAATATATTTAACTCATGATGAATGGAATCAGCATTATCGCAATCTTGCATCACATTGAATGTGTTTTTTTATTATACCGATATTATCCAGTTTGTTTCCTTTCTACCTACTAGATAAATAAACAATATGACTTTATTATCTGGTTATATATGTATTGTTTTAATGATATACATAATTGTTATTTATATTAAACCCTCCGTCTGTTAAAAAAAACATGTATATACTACATAGGCCCGTTCGTTTCAAGAACTGCAACGCGACTAACGATATTTGCGTCTACAGCAACGAACGATGACTTTGTTTGTTCAGGTTTGGTATTAACAAATTGCAACATCGCGCGCTTTAAAATATGAATTATTTTGTTTGATTGTCAGTGTTTTTCTCGCTCATAAATGCTCCGCTATTGTTTTTTTGTTGTTGTTTTTTAAGACAGGCTTTATGGCTAGTTATTGTTCTTGTTGTGACTGGACCATTAAACTTAAAAAAAAGTTAGTTTTGCTTAAAAAAAAAGTACTTTTGGACTGTGCCGTGTAATAATCAATTATTATGAACGTTGGCAAGCATATGATTATGTGTTTTATGCCCTGTAATTATCATGTTTTTACTACACACTGTGTACAGCTGTTGATGCCGCTTCTTTCATCATCATTGCCATCAGGATTTCACAGTTGCATCACGTTCTCTGTGACACTTCACATCCGAGGTCCACTTGACCTGAAAAAGTCCCAGCTACACTGATTTTTTTTCCGTCCCTCTATTTTGTTTCACTAGGGCTGATACGGGAATATTCAAAGAAAACATAATATATTAAATATATTTCAAATTAAATATAAATATATTTAACTCATGATGAATGGAATCAGCATTATCGCAATCTTGCATCACATTGAATGTGTTTTTTTTTTATACCGATATTATCCAGTTTGTTTCCTTTCTACATACTAGATAAATCAAAAATATGACTTTATTATCTGGTTATACATGTATTGTTTTAAGGATATAAATAATTGTTATTTATATTAAACCCTCCGTCTGTTAAAAAAAAACATGTATATACTACATAGGCCCGTTCGTTTCAAGAACTGCAACGCGACTAACGATATTTGCGTCTACAGCAACGAACGATGACTTTGTTTGTTCAGGTTTGGTATTAACAAATTGCAACATCGCGCGCTTTAAAATATGAATTATTTTGTTTGATTGTCAGTGTTTTTCTCGCTCATAAATGCTCCGCTATTGTTTTTTTGTTGTTGTTTTTTAAGACAGGCTTTATGGCTAGTTATTGTTCTTGTTGTGACTGGACCATTAAACTTAAAAAAAAGTTAGTTTTGCTTAAAAAAAAAGTACTTTTGGACTGTGCCGTGTAATAATCAATTATTATGAACGTTGGCAAGCATATAATTATGTGTTTTATGCCCTGTAATTATCATGTTTTTACTACACACTGTGTACAGCTGTTGATGCCGCTTCTTTCATCATCATGTTAATGTGAACTGAACTGTTTGTCTGGATTTGTTTCCAGGGATGCCATTGGCCCAGGCCATTTCAATATTACAGAAACACTGCCGAATCATCAAAAATGTCCAGGTGCTCTACAGCGAACAAGTACGGATCTGCCATTATTATGTCTATGAATGTCTATGTTGTGAGTTTTTTTTTATCTAAGGCACTAAAGTATATGGATTATTTGTATCCTCCTTATCTGACCTGTTTGTCTCCCTCAAACAGATGCCACTCAGCCACGACCTCATTCTCAACTTGACTCAGGATGGAATTAAACTGCTGTTTGACGCCTGCAATCAGAGACTGAAGGTGAGAGGTGAAGTGTGTGTGCGTGTGTGTGTGATAGAGATTTTGTTAAAATATGTTTATTTCTTACACTACGTTGCAAATATATCTCCATTGAGTCAGTGTTGTTTTTGCAGGTAATTGAAGTGTACGATTTGAGCAAAGTGAAACTGAAATACTGGTAAGTCATCTTGTTTAGCCACAGTAGTTGTGGATTACATTTGTGTTTCACCCAGAATTAAGCTTTTTTTTTATCTTAAGATATTATAGAATTAAGATCTAATAACTTCTTTGTCAGCCACAGAAATGTAAAATGACGCATTCCTCTGTTCATTACAGTGGAGTACATTTTAACTCTCAGGCAATAGCACCTACTATTGAGCAGATTGATCAGTCTTTTGGCGCTACTCATCCAGGAGGTGAGAGTTATTGTCTGTGTCAGTTATTTGTCCAGACTCCTATTTACTGTGTCTGTGTATTTATTGTGGGCTTCATGTTCTCTCTGTCCAGTCTACAATGCTGCCGAGCAGCTCTTCCACCTCAACTTCCGAGGGCTTTCCTTCTCTTTCCAGCTGGACTCGTGGAGTGAAGCTCCTAAATATGAGGTGAGATTAGGTTTGCTCCCTGTGTTCATGCTACTGAATAATACCATGTTCATGGTATTTAGATGGAGCTTCAAAGAATACAGGTAAAACCATTGTATTGCATTTGGCATGATGTATAAATATGGTATTTCCATGGTATTTTCAACTTTTTTGTTAGTATACTCTTCCGTTCACTGCCTAAAAAATGTGGCTTATTCTATTGTTTCATGTGATTGCTTTATAATTAAAGACATATAAAGCTAAGTACTGTACAGTGCGTGCATAATTATGATGCAAGTTGATATTCTGAGCATTTTTTTTTTTCAAAGCATATTTTACCAATTCCAAATCTTCAGCATGTTATTCTTATTAAATGAGGGTCATTTTTTAGGATCCTTTACCTAACCTAAGTCTCTGGGAACCTGACAACTTGCACTTCTGGAGACTAAAGGTAGGTTGCAGTTTTTGGAAAATGGTGGCGCTGGAGACTAAAGGGTTCCTGATGGTTTCACACCTATTTCTTCACCTTAATTCTTAATTTTTTGCAGTTAATTGTCTTTTCTTCTCCACCGTTGTTGTTTTTTTTTTGACCATGCTGACCCAATGACCATTTTGCTGTCCAATGGTCATGTCTTAACTTTGAAATTTCTGTATCATTAGTTTTGAATATTTCTAATGGGCATTTAATAATTTTTTTACTTTTCAGTCTGAGTTAAATCTCTTTTTGTGGCTCATTTTATCAGTAAAAGAAAACCTGCTTCATAATTCTGCACACCTGAACATAAGGAGTTTTTCACTTCCAGCCTTCATGGACAATTATATATCACTTATAAATTAATAAATACAAAATGAATAGTACTTATTAAGATTGATGTGGTTTGGAATTGATAAAATGTGCTTGGAAAAAAAATATATGATCAGAATATCAACTTGCTTAATAATTATGCACGCACTGTATGTAGAATGATTGCAAAAAATAAAGTACTACCGTACTCATTAGTAATAAAGTAAATAATAATAATAATAAATAAATAAAAAATGTCAAATTTTAAATAATACTAGGCAACGTTTTTATTCAGAAAATGTATTAATAGACATTTTCAAAAATAATTAAAAAAATATTTGTCATGCATTAAGCTGAAAGACAATATATGAAAAAACAATATATGTTTTTGTATATTTGTACATTTATTTATTTATATATATAAATTTCAAACAAAACTTTTATATACAGTAATTGTTTTGAAATTATATATATGACTGAATTGTGAAATTGAAATATGGAACGATATTCCGGACAATTTTCAAATAGAATAGCAAATTGTATTTTCAATTGCGTTTTCAATATGTGGACGCATAAATTGTGACATAATCCAAATGCAATTGCAAATCCTGCATTAGCGTTTGCATTTTCGCTTTCGCGAACGCACAGTGACGGCCAAATTTCAAATGAAAAAGCAAAGTCCATTTGCAACTGTATTTCCCATGTCTTAGGAGTTACGAGCCTGTCATATTTAAATAGCAATATTAATTACCACGTCTGCTTTTTCACTCTCGCTGCGTCGCGCATGTAACCTGCCAAAACTCAAATGGAATCGCAATTCCTTTTGCATTTGAATTTCCGATGTCTACATGGAAAGCTGCCAATCAATGTGAGGGGGCGGGGCTATACTAGGGGGCGTGTTTGTGTTGGGAGGTGACGTCACTCACAGACGACCGTGCAGAATGCTCTGATCAGTGGAGGTAATCGGTAAAGGCTCAGCTAAAGGCAGCTACCAATCAGTTTCGTACCTGTGTGAACGAACAGACAGTGCAACCTTCTTGGCACAATACATAATTATGTCTTTTCTAACCCAAATGTAGGGATTATCCCCTGCTAACAGCGGGAGCCACAACGGTACGCACAATAGGTCAATATTCACTATAAACCAAACGCTTTTCACCTGTCTCGGCATCTCTCACTGTTTACACTCACTTACACTTTTAATCCGTAATAGAGAGTGTTCTATTTGAAAATTGTCCGGAATATCGTTCCATATTGAAATGTTTCCTCTTGCCATGAATAAAGCCACTGGTGCTGACATGGCGTTAAATCATAAAAAATAAATACAATTTAGGTTTGTATTGCTTATAAAGTTAAATATTGACAATATTAATAATAATATGAAATACTTTATTATTAATAAAGTAAATTAAGATAGATACAGATAAATACAGATTATTGCATGTAAATGAATGGCACTTATATCAGTTTTATACTAGGGTTATTTCTATACTATTATAGTTTATTATTTTTATAATTTATTAATGTTTAATTAGCTTTTTATTTTTGTTTATTTTAGTTTTTCAATTTTTTGTTTTAGTTCAGTTCTAGTGATATTATGTTCAGTTTTACATTTTTAGTTTTTTTAAAATTACTATTTAGATTTAAATTATTTAATTTCAGTTTTAGTTCATTTTAAGTGCTTAAACTTCAACTTCAATGTGTCTCATTTTCATTTAGTTTCAGTTTTAATCTAATATTTGTATTTTATTTTAGCTTTGTTTCAATTAACAAAAATGTTTCAATAGTTTTAGATAATGATAATAACCCTGACCCATGTGTGAATTGATCTAAAATACATTACTTTGATGATGTGAGCATCTTTTCACCAAAAGAGACACCTGCACAGACATCGTGTTCTACTCCTAGCTGTTTTGCCTTGCCAGCCTAACTTTGCCCATGGCTTGGCCTCCCTGCAGATTCCCCATGGGGCCACTGTCAAACGGATGCACATTTACTCTGGAAACAACCTTCAAGAAACCAAGTAAGAGCCGTGCATGTGTTTGGATATTTGTGGAGTTTAGGTGTAAGTAAAATGCCATATCACTACTAATGAATGATTACAGCTGCATACTATTGAGCATGGATGTGTTTACTTACCTACCCTAAAGTTCAAAGTCATTGTCTTATTATGTCTATTTGAAATTTGTATGTGGCCCAGGGGTGCATTAATCTGCATTTAGTAAGAGACCTTGGGCCTCTAATTTTGATTGTTCAGTTTAAGCACTTGGTAAGAACGCTGTGGGTTGCATTCCCATTAAGCAGCAAACATTGTAAATTATATATTTCTTCACAGGGCTCCAGTGATGCCTCTGGCCTGTTACCTTGGTAATGTGTATGCCGAGAGTGTGGAGGTGTTGAGAGATGGGGCAGGACCGCTGGGTCTCAAACTTCGCCTGCTCACCGCAGGTATTATCCATAAAACTAATGTCAGACATCATTATGCAAGTTTTCAATAAACATGCATATGACCAGTGTTGGGGTTAACACATTACAAGTAACGCGAGTTATGTAATCAGATTACTTTTTTCAAGTAACTAGTAAAGTAACGCATTACTTTTTTAATTTACAAGAAAATATCTGAGTTACTTTTTCAAAAAAGTAACGCCAGTTACTTTGTTTTCCCATTTATTGACTGACAAGTCTCATGTCCCCATATTGGGAGAAATCGGAAGTGCAGTAAATTAATTTTAAGCATGTTGAGGAGAGCAACAGTTCCCTGTTTTCTGGCAAGCTTCTGTGTTTAAAGACATATCATGACATGTTATTCCAAAAGTTAAGCAGTGCTTAGCAAACCAGCATAAGTAATTTGTACTTCTGGGATAAATAAACATTTGTGCTGATTATTGTTTGATTGTTATTCATCGCCAACATAAACAAACAGCATAGGTTTATTTTATCGCTATAGCATAAACCATAAAGCTGGCATAATCATAGATGTATTGACCTTAACAAAGATGTTTATAGAGATTCTATTTAACATTCTTTTGAAATGTTCTTGGTAATCAGTATTATGTGAGTTTAACTATATAGTTCAGTGTTTTCCAGCTGGAGGGCCGTGACCCAAAAATGGATTGCAGGTCTGTCATGATAGGGGTCGCTGACAACAGAGAAAAAGAATAACAAATGCAAATCATAAACCGCAACTATGTAATCATGCATTTTAGGATAGCAAAATACATAGGCTTATCAACGATATTTTACGGTTAATAAATAATATTCTTTTGAAAATTAACTTCATTTATCATAAAAAGGAAACAAAATGTCTTTAAAAACAAGCAATTTTATTAACATAAATTTTTAAGAATATTTATTTACAGTTCAAAGTTTGGGGTCAGTAAGAAAAAAATCATGTGACACTGAAGACTGCAGTAATGGCTGCTGAAAATACAACTTTGCTGTCAGGAATAAATTGCATTTTAAAATAGAAAATAGGCATTTTAAATTGTAATAATATTTCCCAATATAACTGTTTTTACAGTAGTTTTGTTCAGTAAATGCAGCCTTGGTGAAAATGAGACTTATTTCAAAAACATTAAAAATCTAAAGGTTTGGATGCAGTGTGTGTTTATTTATGTTTTTTGAACCAATTTTACTGCTGCCTTGATGTCCACAGTGAAACCTTGGTGCTGTAATCCAGATTATAACAAGTGATATCTAGTCATCCAGTAATAATAGAAAATTAATTAGCAAACAAGTATGCTGTTTGAAAAGCTGCTTTTTTCACATTGTTTGTGTTTTTACTTTCTCAGGATGTGGCCCGGGAGTGTTGGCTGATACGAAAGTGCGAGCCGTTGAGAGAAACATCTACTTTGGAGATTCTTGTCAGGATGTTTTGAGTGCTCTTGGCTCTCCACATAAGGTCTTCTACAAGTCAGAGGATAAGGTAATGACCAAACCTGTTTATACAAAACACGGCACATTATTCTCAAGATGATCACATTGCCTCCCATTTATTCTGTTTGTCTTGAAATATCTTTTCTTTTTTTGTACGTCTCAGATGAAGATCCATTCACCCTCCCCTCACAAGCAAGTCCCGTCCAAGTGTAATGACTACTACTTTAACTATTATATTCTGGGAGTGGTGAGTATCATTTTTAACTTACTCCATTAGTTACATTACTTCTAATTAATCCATAACGTGCTGTTAGTGTAGATTTTGTTTGTTCAGTTTACGTAAACCCTTAAACTTTTGAGCAATTATTCTCTCTATATCTTTCAGGATATACTGTTTGACTCTACAACCCACTTGGTCAAAAAATTTGTCCTTCACACCAACTTCCCTGGCCATTACAACTTCAACATGTGAGTCTCATTTCTCTGCTTTTATTGTATTATGTATTGCAGCATTGTAAATATTTGGTTGAATATCTATTTCAATTGGTCACTGCTGTTGGGAAGGTCATTCTGGAGGTTTTGCAGTCTGGGCATATTGATTGAATATTGATTTTCATTTCATAATGCTTGCAGTGTTTAGCAATGTGTGGTTTGAGTATCATATTCCAGGAGAATGTAACTGCCCTTTATTCCCATCTCAGATATCATCGGTGTGATTTCAAGATTCCTCTCATCATTAAAAAAGGTCTATATTACATTCTCTGGACTTGATTGTTATTCTGTGGTGTTTGGTGTTTTTCTTATTCTTTAAATTGTGTTTCAGATGGGGCAGATGCTCAGAGTGAGGACTGCATTTTGACCACCTACAGCAAAGTGAGTTCATGGACTTCACTGTATAGTCAACACATACTTAATATACACATGCATTAGATGCTATGTTATTCACTACTGTATGTGATAAATAATTCATAAAAGTTTTTAAGAGAGTACTAATTATGTTTTCAACTTTTGCACTCAGTGGGATCAGATTCAGGAGCTGCTAGGACACCCCATGGAAAAACCAGTTGTGCTACACAGGTGAGAGCCATAGGGGTAGATATGACCATATGTTATTTTAGTATTATTTATGTAGGGGTATAGTATTTATTAATATTTTAAATTAGCTTTTCTTTGTATATTTAAATGTTTTTATTCATGTTTTAGTTAGTTGTATGTGCTTTTGTCATTTTTATTCATTTGAGTTTTTATTTAATATTTCTAGTTATAGTTTTATAGTTGTTATTTCAGCTTTATTTCAATTCATGAAAGATTTGTAATAGTTTTGATGAAAAATATCAACACTGCCTGAATTTAAAAAAAAAAAAGTCTGTAGTTTTTCACATGGTTTAGTTCAAACTACAGCATACAGACACCTCTGCATATGAAAACCTGTTCATAATCTCTGATTAATTGATTAATTGTGCACTGCTGCAGGTCATCATCTGCAAACAACACCAACCCTTTTGGTTCCACATTTTGCTTTGGACTACAGCGGATGATATTTGAGGTATGTGACTAGATCAACTGTGTGTACGGTTTGTTTTACTTAGTCAGCCTGTTTAAAAATAAATATATTAATTTAAAAAATAAATAAATCTCTATAAATGGCAGATTTGGTATTCACACAGCTGTTGCAGCTGTGCTGTGTTCACAATTGAATGGAAATATCATTGGCTCTTACTAGGGATGTACTGGCTGATACAGTTTAGCAGATAACTATTTTCATGTTATGGCCAGTAACCAATAAATGGCCACTGTTAGAACCATTTTATTTTAATACATTTTTAAAAAGTAAAACATTGAAAATTAGTCATTTTAATTGCTGTAAGTGAATTTAGTCATCACACAACATTAGAATGTACAATATGAAAAAATGTATATTCATATTTGTTAAAGATAATATTATTTATAAGAGAGCATTAGATAACTGCAAAGGTATTTTAATTGTAAAAACAGGGGAAATAGGCATGCATTATTAAAGTCACCATGAACTTTATTTTTTTAATGGAATATTGCAGTATTTATCCATGCACATATTTTTTCAAATCATGTGCCCTTGTACTCTTTAATCAAAATAACTTTGCAACAACATATTTTCGCCCTTTCTTGTTTAAGAAGCCATTTCACTCGGGTTTTTGTCACAATAGGTGAGAAAATACTATCACAAATTTCATTTTATCCCAACTTTAAAATATCCCAAACTGTCTGACACTGATTTTTAAATAAAATTTAAAAAGTCCCTATTATTTGCAGATAACCAGTATGGTACTGATATATTAATCACCCATAGATCATACATAACTAAGCACTTAATTAACTATTGGATCTCATCTACATGTTGTTGCTGTGGTTGCAGGTCATGCAGAATAACCACATAGCTTCTGTGACTCTCTACGGAGCGCCTCGTCCAAGTAGCCTGGCCCATGCCGATCCGAGTGCCCACTGAGGAAGCCGCCATGCCCACGGTGCCCGTCCAGCCCTGCAGAGCCTCTGAACTGACCAGCAGAGTGTGCCTTCACTCACTGCTGCCATCACACAAGATAAAGCAAGACATGCTGGGAGTTTCTCTGGAGTTGAACTCCCCACCCTTCAAATTTTAATCAAATTTTAATTCCATTTCGGTCTCCTCCTCTGATAATAGCATGGAGGCTGCCCTCAGCCTGCTAATGATCCCGGATAACCGTGTAAACCTGGCTTTGCCCCCAAAGCTTTAACACAGACATGCATCAACATCAGCATCGTTATAATACTTGTGGATGCACAGTGATCCATTTCCACACAAGCATATTTGTGTTTTGTTTTTTTTGCCTAACCTTCTAAAATTTCCATACCAGACGCACCAACGGGCAAACTGTGAAGCAATTTTTCCTCTGCACGCTAAACACTTTAACAAAAATGCACATGAATTCAACTTCGTTTGCTTTCCGACGAGCAGAGGATTAGAGCAAAGTCAAATGAGGACAAACTTTCGCAGCAAAATTCAACGACGAGTGTGTTTTGTATGAATTTACGTGAGGTTCCAAGCACAAGCTAGCACAGTATGGATCCAGTGCTGTGAAAATGTTTTTGTGGCACATGAGCAGGCTCCCATACACATTCATAAACTCATTTTAATACCAAGTCAGCAGCACAGATTACCTCCCATTTCAATAGCGTACAGCCGCTTTATGGTTGATTCTGTTATTGTTTTGTTGTTCGTGAGCGCATTCGTTTTGAACATTTGCACTAAAATACACCTAATTTACTTGATAATTGTCTCCTGTCCACTAAGGGACATTTTAATTGCCGAGTCTCGGAGAGAAAGGACAGCGGGGGAGGGAACGACGACGTGCAATCTGGATTTCAAAGCTAGTAACGACCCTGACTGGCGAGAAAAGCCATCCACCCATCGCCGTTTCTCCTTCCCGTTGAATGCCGTCAATTTTGTTTGCATCTTCTTTCTTTTTTTCGTCCACAGTACAGAGATGTGAAGTTCTTTTACCTTATTCAGTATCTTAAAGTCTTAACTGCAGAATTGTCTTCTGTCGCCTGATTGCCAAAATGTTAGCCAAAGAAGAAACAATGGTTAGCTCTCTGTCATTTTAAATTCACATCGTAATAATAATCTCTTTTGATTTGATCCATACAGTCCCTGAATTGTTTTTAGCATAGCAGCTCAATCGATTGATTGGTAAGTAGACATCATGTTTTCTATAGCCATGTCCATGTCTGTACAGATCTGTAAATAACGTACACCGTTTTCATTGTTTCATCAGCCTAATGGTACCGTATCAGATCAGCTGACATCTGGAACTCCCCTACACTGCTAACATACTGAGAGTTTCTGCTTTTCTTTGCCAGCCCTTGAGGGACACTATAGCAGCTTCCCTCCACTGTTGTCCTGGATGAAGTCGCCTACATTTGACCACTTTCAGGAGGATTTAACAATGATGACTAGAGCGTTTTAACTTTAGTAGATGGTTTGTTCACCTCTAACTACTGTTCATTGCTGTGCTGCCTGGCAGCGTAGCCACCCATAGCTGTCAAGCTCGGGTTCTCTGGTGTCGTTCCCACCTCCCTTCAGGCTTCTGCAGTGTGTGGTTCAGGCTTATTCGGGCATTTTTAGCTTTCTGTTACATTAACTGCGCTGGAAGGCCGTCAGTGGTGTTTTTAATATATTTTACCCATAGGTTTTGGTCATTTAAAAGGAAGATGATATTAACATTGTGTCTCATCTCCCACCGAGCCTGTCTTGACTTTTTCTCTGTAAATGAAATCGTTTGAAAAACTGCTTTGTGTATGTCTGAGCATGTAAAGCTAAATTGATAGTCTTTTTGTTTTGAAAATCGTACCTGAATATTAGAGGAACTAAGGAAAAATGGACTCATTGAGTATTGAAAGGCTAGTACTATGCAAGTTTATTTCCGCCATGGAAACACAACAAAAATTGTGACGTTTTAATTTCACAATTTTGACTTTTTCCTCTCAATTCTGTGTAAAAGTCAATTGTGAGATGTAAACCCAGGATTCTGAGAAAAAAAGTCAATTGCAAGAGGGAAACTTGCAATTATAAGTTTATAACTCACAATTGTGAGATGTCAACTCACAATGCTGAGGAAAAAAGTTAGAATTGTGAGAGATAAACTCACAGTTTGTACAAAAAAGGTCAAAATTGCAATCCAGATATTAAGTCGCAATTACCTTTTTAATTTTTTTTTATTCCTGGGTGGAAATTAGCTTCCATAGTTTACTCTGTTCAAAATGCAGCATATGAAAAAATTATGTTATGAGTCAAAAATATATCAGAACATGTAGATGGCCCTTCATGATGTGGGGTTCACTAAGTGGTTGCGGTGTTTCCATCAAAATACAACCTGTACTTTAAAAAAAAAAAAAAAAAAAACGGTGTGAAGTTCCACTTTAATGAGTTTAAAACTGTTTAGGGCTGAGGATCAGATTTAAAATGCACAATTGGAACCTCCGTTGTCAATAAGGAATAACACAACTGCTGTTTTAGTGTCATTTTGGGAGATTTACTACAGGAGTGTGGTCTGATGGGCTGATTGCCTGCCCAATCTCAGGTGGATGTTTTATTTTTAATGCCAGGAGCAAGTGAATGCTTAATTTTCATCAAATGGGTTTTGGCTGTATTGTTTCCTCTTCAGACTTTGTCCTATTTTTGCATCGGAATGAATGAATGAATGATCGTCCTGAGGATTGTAATTAGAAATGGACAACCTCCATACAGTTTAATGCGCATATTAATGCTATGTATTGTATCCCTCTATATTGTATGTTCTTCCCCATCCTCCAAAGTGATAATTTTTTGTGGATTCAGTACATTTAACCCATTTCTGGAAATGGGATTTATCCTCGATTAAAAAAAGTGTATCTAAATTGATTGCAATGTGGTGTTTTGTATCTCAGATATTTTTACTTCTGTAGAGTTAAGGAACATGTATGCGGAAGATCAACATTATCCGGCATTTTTTTGTTGTTTCATTTTGTTTTGTTTTTAAAGCAATAATCGTTGTGTTGATGGATAATAAATCAGAATGGTCTGGTGTATGTTTGTCAATAGCTCAGAATGGTGCAACAATGCTGTGACCATTGGATTTTAGTTTCCTCGTTGAATCTACTGAAAGCATTATCAATTTTTTTTAACTGCTAATTTTGCATTTTGTTCATTAAAACTGTTACAGTGTGTTCAACAAAAATATTTAAAGAATGGATGTAATAAATATGGAGGGAAAGAATGGATGCATCCTTTGTCTTTTGTTAAAAACGTATTTTATATTCACTTTAAAACAAGCTCAAAGTGTAGTAGTGTTCATGTTCACAGCAGGCTACTTACTAAATTCAATCATTTAATTCAGTTTAATCTAAATCCAAAAGACGGCAGATCATCCAAAACAATACAGCACAATAATCAAAGAAAAATTGTTCAGTTTGATAAATAGTACCATTTTTCTAATATATACAGTAATAGTCTGTTCTGTGATACATACCCCAATACTTTTTTGCATGAGAATATCAGTATCAACATAACATTAGTGTCCATTTTGTGCATACAAAATGTGTCCGATTCCTATACAACAACATCTTTATCATTTTGCTGAAGTCTACAGTAATAGAGGAATAGTTTGAGTGAATGATACAGCTGTGAAACATTTTTAAAGAACCATCTACAGAACTAGAAAGTTTTTTTTCTTTCATTTAGCAATTTTTTAAACAGTCTTTTAGATGGATAGTTCACCCTAAAATAATAATTTACTCATCTTCATGTTGTTCCAAACCTGAAATGTTCATATACATTCAGATATTGCGTGTGTCAACACCGATAACTCCCAAGTGTGAAACCAAGTCCTGGCTTGAAGGAGATTTTCAGTGAATAAAGACTTAAATATCTCACACAAAGCTACTATATTGCTTCAAATAACATGGAATATAGCGCAAGAGGTGCACAAATCCCTTTTTAGAGTATGACAATTAAGGACCATTAGATGTCTCTGTATAGAAAAGAGGAGTCCAACATCCTTAAATAATCATATAAGGAAGTCCGCACATGATATGCGGGGAAAAAATTATATATTGTGGCCATGAATAAAGAAATAGTTCCAACAACTCACTCATTCATTTTAGATCAATCATGGCCAAGTTGTACTAATTCATTGCCTCATTGTAATTGTTAAATTGTGGTCAATGTTGTACTAAACTCATTTTAGTTTAAACATGGCCATGATTTAACTAAACCAAAATGAGGGAAGGAATTTTCTCATAGCCATGGTTTGATGTTTTATTTTCAAAGTACATTCATTATCTTGGAGTTAATGTTCCACAAACACTTTCATCCCATAATCGTTGTTCCTAAGCTTCTCCTTTGCCTTGTTCTTAGCTGTCTTCCCAATCTTGTCGCTCCACTGAAAGGGAAAAACCGTGGGATCCTGACTGCTATGGCACTGAAGGTTAGGGTCATGAAGAAGGTTCCACATGAGCCAGATCTGTGGGACCGTCAAGCTGTGCACCACCATCAGCTCTCTGTAGAAGCAGGGGTCGAAGACCTGCAGGTGGGGTGCAGCAGACGGTCTTACGATTCCAAAGGTGCGGAAGCCCTCGTGACGAGTCGGCTGAAGGCCGATCCTCAGTAGACACATGCCTAAGAAGACATCATCAATGGGGAAGAGTTCCACCTCTTGGCAGGCGAGGTGGAGCTTCAGTGCGGTATGTCCTGACATGACAAAGCCGCCTCCACCCGCATAAGACGGGTAGATCCCCTGGCCGTAAATAAACTCTGGGACAAAGTACTTACTGTTGCGCCTGCGAATTGGTTTCGCATTGACGATGATGTCGCCAACAAAAAGATCCTTACTGATCTCTTGACCCTCAAGCATCTCCAAGATATTGTCAATGTTCACATAAACATCTGCATCACCCTTAAAAATAAACTTCACTTTGGGACAGCTCACATTGATCCATTGTAGGAAGTGGATTTCTTTTAGTGTCAAGTTGAAGAAGGTGTCTTCAAAGTCCCACAGGAGGATATCGCTAAAAGTCTGACTCTCATATCCCAACAGGTTGTCCCATAATGGGAGCACTGTTTGATTTTGGGGCACACCAAGAAGAAAAACTCTCTTGACGTTCATGTTTTTCTGGGACACACCTTCTTGTCCCCATGTGCGTCGAACGACCTGACGTTTGTCAAAGTCCGTTGCTACTGATTTTATGGCGATCAGAATGTGAGGGGCTCCTTCTGGTCCAGAACACTTTGTTGGTTGATCAATTAGCAGCTTGAAGTCCCGTTGGTCTTTCTTTCGAAGGTAATCGTCAAAGTCAAAGGAAGCATGTGTTGGTTGCAGACTTGCTGTCGTTGAGGGCTGGCGAAATTTAGACTTTGCTTTGCTACGTGCTTTTTGAGACTTGACCTTTGATGGTTCCTGTGCTTTAGGCTTGATCTGAACCTCAGGTTTGCAAGGAGGTATGTCTGGATATTTTGAAGAGACCGGCTTTGTTTGCTGTCCCATTGATGCTCCACTGAGAAGGGGTCTCGACCTGGTGGACCCCTGTTCAATGTGCAAAGTCCCCCATACGGGCGTTATTCTTTGATGTGCATATAACAGCAGAAAGAGAAGCACCAGCAGAATCAGGGAGCAAAGCACATCTCCCTTTATATAGACCCTTCTCATGGTGTGACAGGTTTCAGTGTTATTCTTCCTAAGAAATTCTGTTGAAGTCTCATATTCCTCCTAAAGTATTTGGATTTTCTCACAGCCATAGTAGATTCTGTACAAAATAAATGAACAGCACTAGTATTTCCTCCTAAAAATAAAACCTTAAAATGTATTTTTTTAAATAAAATTTGCAGTCGTTAAAGTCAATTTCCTATTGTGTGAGATATGTCCGAGTATGACTTACCACAGTCATCCTGGATGTCACGAAACAACAGGAGACACAGGATATTACTTGACCAAAGTTATGCTTCATAAACAGCCAGGACCGCATACTTCTATGAAACAGGATACGCAAACAATTTATAACAGGATCCACATCTGACATCTGTGACAAACTTGCAAACTTAAGAATCTTTTCTGGCACTTCAAAGTAAAATAAATGGTGATAACTGTTGAAAGAGCTTAAACTGGTGTGTCTTTCATGTGCAATATCCACAGAAAAGTTGGAGTTGCTTTCCAAGTTCTCAGTCAGTTTTTAAAAAGAAGCCCATCACAACAAAGTTCAATGTGTCAACACCACAAAATACCTCTTTATTTTTTAAGATGTAAATAATGCTTCATTCCTCAAATCCTCTCTTAAATGATTGAGAGGGATTCCGAGTATTGTGAGGCTATTTTGAAATATTTCCCCTCAAGTTTGTCAGACATTTGTCCTGCAGTCTGATAAAGCCTGCTCTTGGACATTTTGATTCGTTCCATTCTGTAAATTAACATTGTTACGCAAGTAGGCGGTGAGTTTCGAGGCGCTGAGAAATATGCCTTAAGGCATACAGTTATGAATGTGCGCATGCTTTTATTTTTCAAGTGCATTTATTTAGCATTATATTTTCGCGTTCAGTCTTGTTTAGAACTGTCTTATAGTGTCTCAAACTTTCATTTACAAGACTTACCCAGATGAAGGTGTACCAGCAGAGCTATGACAAGACAGCACTGCAACCAGATCCAAACATCTGCTTCCACTATTAAAGCTGCTGCAATCCACCGTTGCGTGTGCATGTTTCAGAAAAGTTTTCCAGCTCGCTGAAAGGCGCTACGTTACTAAATACACAAACTTTCTTCATATCAGCCATGTTCGGAGCACTGTAGAGTAGTCATAAGCGCAGGACTTTTCTAAATGCACATTTTCAAAGAACAGCTCTTTCGTTGATCACGTGACAGCTCCGAGATTGTTGGATGAGTCGCGCGCCAGATGCCAGCGCAGCAACTGGAAACGCGTTTGGGAGCGAGGACAGGGAATCGGGAACGCGCACCAGAATTATACATTTGTAGACTCGTGTCCCATAGCTGCGCCTTTCTCCGTGATGGAAAACAAACCCGCTTCAGCTTCAGTGTTAAATATGGAAGCCCGTTTCCGCCACTGAATAAAAAATAAAAAAAGCTAATTGCGACTTTTTTTCTCAGAAATGCGTAATATAAACTCACAATTGCGAGCTATAAAGTCAGAAGTGCCAGACAAAGTCAGAATTGCGAGCTATAAAGTCAGAATTGCGAATCCACCGTTGCGTGTGCATGTTTCAGAAAAGTTTTCCAGCTCGCTGAAAGGCGCTACGTTACTAAATACACAAACTTTCTTCATATCAGCCATGTTCGGAGCACTGTAGAGTAGTCATAAGCGCAGGACTTTTCTAAATGCACATTTTCAAAGAACAGCTCTTTCGTTGATCACGTGACAGCTCCGAGCTTGTTGGATGAGTCGCGCGCCAGATGCCAGCGCAGCAACTGGAAACGCGTTTGGGAGCGAGGACAGGGAATCGGGAACGCGCACCAGAATTATACATTTGTAGACTCGTGTCCCATAGCTGCGCCTTTCTGTTCTCCGTGATGGAAAACAAACCCGCTTCAGCTTCAGTGTTAAATATGGAAGCCCGTTTCCGCCACTGAATAAAAAATAAAAAAAGCTAATTGCGACTTTTTTTCTCAGAAATGCGTAATATAAACTCACAATTGCGAGCTATAAAGTCAGAAGTGCCAGACAAAGTCAGAATTGCGAGCTATAAAGTCAGAATTGCGAAATATAAACTC